TGCGACGTAGCCTCGGGGACCCCGGGACAGACCTGCGAGGTGCCGGGGGATCCAGAGCGCGGAGCGGCCGTGCCCCTGCCCCACCCCGCCCGCCCTCACTGCGGTCCGCGACCTCAGCCGGCCGCGGCCCCCAGTTCCCTGGCCCGGCCGATTGCCACACTTCCCACCTCCAGCCCCATGGGGCGGCCGAGGGAGGAGGGCGCCCGGGCTCCGGGCGGGCGCAGTCCCGGGAGTCCTGCCCGAGTTTCTGCCGCGCACCGAGGCCGACCGCCCCTCCAGGGCCGACCCAGCGCGGAGCCTGCGACCCCGAGGGCCCCCCGCCATAAAGCAGACAGCGTTTCCACCCAACAGCTGTAGAACCTGCCGCCAGTGGCACACACCCCCTACAGCAGGAGACCCTTCAGAGCCAAGCCCCAACTTTTGTAGAATGTATTTAGTTTTCAATCTACACCACGTTTATCTGTGTTCAAGTTCATATTAAAAAATGTTTTTCCCTTAGTTTGGTAAAATTGATGTTTCAGGAAGATGCAACATGTTTATCCTAGAAAACTGGCCTTGATTCTTAGCGTGGACAGAGCGTCACTAAGACGCGTCTGAGGGTTTACAGAGAGCTACAACTTACTCCTTGTAGATGTAACAATTTTTTACCGTGATGAAATGTTGGCGGTTTTAGGCTCTCTCGGTTAGAACCTCCCACAGTGGCTTGTTTGCTGGTTTATCTGTCAAGTGCAGGTGCTTTGACAGTTCTCTTAGGAAAGAGTGTGACCTCCTGCTGATCTAGTTTGAGAGCTTGGCCCTCACCTCAGCCTATTCCTGGAGAGCTAGAGGCAGAAGCTGCCTGAATTCCAACATGTTTGTTCGTTGGCTCTTTGCAGGGAGACCCCGGCCTTGGCCTACCGCTGGAGGAATGAGACTTGTTGGCCCACCCCTGGCCCAGCTCGCCCCTGAAGCAGCCCCCAGGGGACTCTTCAGCCTTTTTCAGCCCCAGACTGCCTGATTTTCCAGTTCCCAGCAACCCCTCCAGCCCTGTTTTCCTTCGCCCCAGGCTGAACTCCTCCCTTATTAACCTCTCTTACCTCTTCTACCCCTTTGTCACTCCCCCTCTCAGCCTCCCAATTCCAAAGTTCCCCCTACCTTTCTCCAGCGCCCTCCCCAGACTGCCAAACACCCACACACTCTTTTCCAGCAGGGTCCCAGTGTCTCCTCTTTGGGCCTTGGCTAACCCTTGGGTCCCTCTCTAACTCCTCCCCACACTTCTGTCCTACTTGACTCCCCTCCTTTAGCTTCTGAACCCTTTTATCAGGCAGTTTTCCTAGATGCCAGGCTTTCCCAAGGTCCCCACCAGACTTTTTAAATGATTCCTTGGAGGACTGAAGACCATTGACCTTGTTTTTAAGATAGCAGTAGGGAGGCGAAGTTTTGGGGCAGACGTTGGATTGCCAGGGCCTGAGAAATAAAGATAAGAGGGTGTACACCTCCTCCAGGAGACAAAGAAGAAGGTGGATGGAGAATGAAAAGCTGGACCTCAGGCAGTATTAGAAGGATGCTACCAGTTCTGTCAACATACTTAGGACACACTCGAACACACAGACACACCACCTTGGCTGAACCAGGGGATTTTTTTATCTCAGCCCTTCTGACCCATCCCCCACTGCACCGGGCCGGCATGGCCACGCCCATAGTGCCCCAAGCTGCCTGCCCTGCTATGACTCACTTCCTCCGTTTGGGCTGCTGGGCTACTGAGGTGTCTGGAGGCAGAGGACACCACCAGGCCTTCAGCCTGAGATGTAGATATCTGAGTACAGGCGTCTGGGACAGGCAAAGACATGGACCCCAGTTGTGGAAAGTGGGTCTTCCCAGGTCAGGCTGGCTGTGTAACACAGAAGCCCATTTGGGTAAAGGAGTGGAGCTTGGCTAGTACATGAGCGGAGGAATTCAGGTGCCAAGAGTTCTGGGGAGAAAAATTTCCTAACAAGAAGAAAAATAGCCAGGAGGAATATCTATGTATTCTGAAATCGTGCAATTTATTTGCAAAAAAAAGCAAGATGGTTAAGAATTGAAATGTTCATGAGCGAACAGCTGAGACTATATATTACTGCTTGTCCCCCTGTAGTCCACTAAGAGGGACCCCAAATCAGCTATGACTTGATCTGAATGATAAAGAAAACACTGAGAAGGAGTTAGGAGACCTGGATTCTAGTTCCAACACCTTGACCTCCTAGAGTCAGTAACGAGAGCGGGGCAGACCAGGTCATCTCTAAGATCTCCAACACTGAAATTCTAAAATTTAGAGCATGGTGGAAGGTGATTAGTAAATATGAAAACAACCTCAATCTGTCCCTGGAATTGAACAAAACAAAACGAAGGAACAAAAGAAGTGACATTCCACCAAGTTTCGGTGGAGCGATTGTAAATGCATCACATATAGTCCTCACACTCCTAGGCAACTAGGACTACGCTTCTGCCAGGTGACTGGGCTCCTGCCTGCCTTCTCCAAATCCAGAGTTCAGCTTTGCAGGTCAGCCAGGAGTCCCTTGCAGAGGTTTGCACTGGGGAAACAAGAGCCCTCTCTCTCGCTTCATTTCCTTCCAAGCCTTCTTGGAACGTGTGCCCAGCAGAGGCTCTAAAGGGTACAGAAAGCTGAAGGCACGGGGACTTTGGCTGTGGAGCCACTGTAAAGCAGTAACCCAGCCTAGGAGGTCTCCTGCATGTGTCCTGAGGTCTGTCTCAGGGGGGTCCTATGAGTAGATGTCTACCCGAGGCTTTTCCCCTGAATCTGCCCGCCCACCAAGTCCTCTTAGGAACCTGATGTCCTCAGGAGTCTGCACTTCCCGACAAGTGGACACGAGGCCCCTTGATACGTGTGTGCAGCCAGAGTCTCAGAGACCTGCAGCGGCCACTAGAGGGCTCCGGACTCTCAGTGGCTGCTGATGCCCTCTTGTGGCCAGATTGGGGATTGGCGAGAAAGAAGTTGCAGGAAAGAGCTAAGATTGGACTTCTTAGGTAGACACGTTAATAATAACAGTTATTAATATAAAATAACATTACAACAATATTTATTATTATATATCAGTTAATATTTGGACATGTGTACTTACCGCTCTGTGCCCAGCACTCTTCTCAAGTGCTTTAGATGTATTAATTGATTTAATTCTCACAGTAGTCTACAATATAATCACTATTATCATCTCCATTTTGATGATGAGGAAACTGAGTACAGAAAGGTTACGTAGTTGTCAAGGTCACACAGCAGACCAGAATTCTGAGTCTAAGGACTCTGGCTCCAGAACCTTTGCTTTTAACCACCAAGCTGAAACTGAGTCCCATTTTTCAGCTTGCCAGGTAAAATCCAGGACGCTCAGTTAAATTACAATTTCAGATAACAACAAGTATATGCCATGAAATATTTGGGTCATTCTTAATACCAACAAATTCTTTGTTGTTTTTCTAAAATTCTAATTTAACCGGGTGTCCTGTATTTTTTTTTTTTTTTTTTTTTTTTGAGGAAGATGAGCCCTGAGCTAACTACTGCCAATCCTCCTCTTTTTGCTGAGGAAGACTGGCCCTGAGCTAACATCGGTGCCCATCTTCCTCTACTTTATATGTGGAACGCCTGCCACAGCATGGCTTGCCAAGCAGTGCCACGTCCACACCTGGGATCCGAACCAGCGAACCCAGGGCCACAGAAGTGGAACGTACACACTTAACCGCTGCACCACTGGGCTGGCCCAAGTCCTGTATTTTTATTTACTAAATCTGGCAACCCTAGTTTATAAGGCACTTTGCCAAATGCCCTCACATGTATTACCTCATTTAATCCTCCAGGAAACCTATCTTCAGATACCCCAGGGTGCACCCCGCCCCCCCGACTCTCCCAATATTCCTATTTTTCCAGGTAAAGAAACAGAGATGCAAAGACCTGCAATGACTAGCTAAGGTTATAGAACATGACTAGTGGCAGAGCTGGGGAATGAACCCATGTTCTCCAGCAAAAACTGGTGCATGTTTTTTGTTCTCCAAGAAAAAACAGTGTATGTTTTCCCCTCTAACAGGAGAGAAAAGCAAGGAGCAGTGACTGCCACCATGGAAATCTCCCTTCGTGGCATCTCCCTAGGCCTGGTCTGCTGTGAGGAAGAGCTGCAGGTCCCTCCTCAGGAACGTAGGAAAACCACTGAGGGCCTTCCTGGGCTGGGACAGTGGCAGAGGAGTGGAGACAGCTCTCTGGCTTCTGTGCCCAGCCCCCACCTAAGCTCTCTAGGGAGGCAGGAAGGAGACTGCTCCCAGAGCCTAGGGAGCTGGCTGTGAGGCCTGCGCAGGGGCCCTGAGGCTCCCCAGGACTGTTCACCTGCTGCTCTGTGCACTGCCAGCCTCAGCCCAGCTGCTGGGGTTGCATCACCTGCAGCTAAAACAGCCCTGGCGGCCAAAAGGCAACAGAGGGACTCTGAGACACAGGGACTCAGGGAGCCAGGGAGCCTCCCGCATTTCCTGATCGCCTTTTGGGAGCGTGGTGCTTCTGTCCCCAGGGAACAATTTTTTCATTTTTCTCTTCTGACTCTGCTGATCATTTCCCACCCCCCAATACCTGTGCCCTTCCTTCCCCATAGATATGAACAGACCCCTCGCCTTCCCCACCCAGGCTGGCTGGTCTAATTAGGCAGTAGTCAAGTGAATTTCTGGGTTGGGACCCCCTCTGGGGTGCAGGCTGGGGTGCCCTGCTGGTATCAGCCCCGAAATCAGCGTGGAGCCTGTCTGACCTGCCCCCCCCCAGGGAGCTGGAGCCAGAGGCAGAGCCAGGTCAGAAGCTGGACTCAAGACTGGGTTTCTCTGGTCTTCACAGGCAGAACCCCACAGGGAGAGCCAGTACACAAAGCCCTCTGTGTCCAGGCTGAGCAGCTGAGAGGCCTAGCGGGGTTCTCTCACGTGGGCTGAGGCCCCATTCCTGGGAGGAGAGATTCTCTGTGGGGAGGTGTTGCCTGTGGAACCAGGTACAGCCTGGTCCTCTCCCACGTTGGGAGGGGCCAGTGCCAGACACAGCAGGGGCTGGTCTGCTGGAGAGATCATCTGACTGGCTGCTCAGCCTGGGCTGCACTCGCCCTCCTCTCCTCTACCAGGCCACACAGGAGCTGGTGCCCACACAGGGACGCCACCAGGCTGAGATGACACACCTCGCCTCGCTCCTAGCGCCTCTGGGTAAGCACTGGACCTGGGCCCTCACGCTGGGAGGGAAGACCTTGTTGATCACTTAGGGGAGGGACAAAGGAGTTTTCCTTTTCTAACATGAGTGCCTGCTCCCTTTTCCAGGCACCCATGTACCCGCAAGAACACACACTCACAGCTCAGAGATTGCACCCACTGACCTCAAGAGCCCAGCCGGAAACTCCAAGGGTGAAGGGCAGGCAGCAGGTAGGCAGCTCTGTGGGCAGGGGCAGGGGCTTACTTGCAGGCTGGGGCCGAAGGCAGGGGACGGTGCCATTAGTTGTTTTCTCCCACCCCACAAACTTAATCCTGCCACGTCGCCGCACCTCCCCTACACGGCCCCCGCAACACCCAGCCAGGCCGTGGAAGGTCGGGACGCGGACCTCAGACCAGGGGTTGGGGAGCCTTGGAACCAGCCCCGGAATCAGGGAGGGTTTGTTTCGTGCTAGTTCTAGCAGCATCCTTGATCAGTCGTTGCTTCCTGAAGGAGAGGTGAGAGGTAGCGGAGGTGGGGCTCCCCTCTTACCTCTCCACTTGGGCTCCCAAACCTGCCAAGCAGTTGATGTTCTTTTTTTCTGCAACAAGGGAAAGGAGGGGGCAATGGGAGCCCGGACTCCGGTGTCTAGGGGTCCTAAAAAGGCCAAAAAGGCCAAAAGTTCTCTTCAGTTGGCTCCTGTTTCTCTCCCTGGGGCAGCCCATTGCACCATGTCTGTGACCAGTGGGAAGACTGGACCATCCCTGACCCAGGAGATCCTCAGCCACCTGGGCCTTGCCAGCAAGGTGGGTGCTGCTGGGACTGTAGGAATTGTTTGTCCTGTATCAGCTCAGGGGCTCTGAGAGGGTCGGGGATAGGAAAAGGGAGAGCAGGCCTTGAGGCCGTGCCAGTGGTCTGGCTGGGGCACTGGGGGGGGGGGGGCACTGGCAGACCTGAGATGCTCCCCCCACACTCTTACAGACTGCAGCTTGGGGGACCCTGGGCACCCTCAGGACATTCTTGAGTTTCAGTGCAGACAAGGATGTGCAGAGGCTGCTGAGGGCCATTGCAGGCCAAGGTGAGCCCTTTTCCCAGTGCGCTTGGAGATCTACCTTTTAGAAAACAGTCTGTAGACCAAGAAGGAGCCAGGAAGGAGGAACTGACCGTGCTCAATAAATGTTTGTGGAGTGCCTTAATTCCTATATGGCAAGTACCATGGTAGGTGTGTCATACCCATTCTTACAATACCCCTGTGGGATAAGTCTTTTTTTGTTTTTTTTTTTGAGGAAGATTAGCCCTGAGCTAACATCTGCTGCCAATCCTCCTTTCTTTTTTGCTGAGGAAGACTGGCCCTGAGCTAACATCCATGTCCATCTTCCTCCACTTTATATGTGGGACGCCTGCCACAGCATGGCTTGCCAAGTGGTGCCATGTCTGCACCCAGCATCTGAACTGGCGAACCACGGGCCGCTGAAGCAGAACGTGCAAACTTAACCACTGCGCCACTGGGCCGGCCCCCAGGATAAGTCTTGTTATTTCCATTTTACAGATGAGAAAACTGGGGCTCAGGGAGGTAAGAGGCTTGCCCAAGGTCACACAGCTCATAAAGGCAGAACTGGCATTCTAATCCAAGTTTGTGATCCCAAAAAACCATTTTTCCCCCTCACCACACCAGGCCACCTTTGCCTAAATTTGGGTCAGATTAGCATGCCATTTTGGCATCTTATTTGCATCTTCTCTTGAGACCAAATGGAAGTGGGGGTGCTGTAGCCCCTACTCCTGTCCTTCCCAATCCTTTCCTGGATCTTATTCTCTCCTCTGGAGGCTTCAAATCCAAGGAGTAAGGGGATCCCACCCCTGTAAAGACCCTGGGTGGGCTCTGCCCAGCTGACAGCCCAGACCTCACCTTGGTTCAGGCGTGGACCGCAGTGCCATTGTGGACGTGCTGACCAATCGGAGCAGAGAGCAAAGGCAGCTCATCTCTCGAGGCTTCCAGGAGCGCACCCAACAGGTGAGACCGCTCTGACTTCCCAGGAGCAGTGGACTTGGCTGAGAAGCCCCCTGGAAGGCAGGGGGTACAGCAATAGCAGCTGAGGCCAACCCCTGCCGCCTGGCTAAACCTGGGGTGAGTGGTAAGATGAAAACCAGCCAGAGGTTCCCAAACCACCCCACATGTCGAGGCCCTGACCCCCAAGCCTGCTTCTCCACCATGGGGACGTTTTGTTGTAGGACCTGCTGCAGTCCCTGCAGGCAGCCCTCTCCGGCTCCCTCGAGAGGATTGTGGTGGCTCTGCTGCAGCCTGCAGCCCGTTTCGATGCCCAGCAATTGAGGACAGCCTTGAAGGTACAGGAGAGGAGGCGTGCTGGGGTGTCTGGGAAGTCAGTACACCACTGAGGGGAGGAGAGGGCTGACTGCTTTGCCTTTGCCCACTCCGGAGGGGTAGTCTTGGCAGTGGCCCCCTTTAGACATCCCAGATTCACCCAGAAGGACATGTGGTCAGCATCTGCTCTCTGCCATGTTAATGACATGGCCCAGTCTCAGAGTGGCCTCCCAATTTCTTGTAGGACTCAAGTTCTGCTGAGGATGTGGCCATGGAAATTCTTGCCACCCGAACCCCACCCCAGCTGCAAGAGTGCCTGGCCTTCTACAAACACGGTAGAACGTGGAGGGCGTGGGCTCCAAGAGCTGAAAGGGGATCCACAGGACAGTCCTCTCCTCTTGCACTCCCTACAGGCGAGCCCTCTGGGAGCCTGTCTGCCCAAGCTCTGTTCCCTTGGAGTCTCCCACCCAACTGCCCCAAACCCCACCCTCCTGCCAGTAGAGCTCAGTCTCCCCAGGGGAGAGAGCCAGATGTGGTCATTAAAGAAAGAGAAGCAGTGATTAACCATCTTAGTCTGGGGCTCCGGGGAAGATTCCGAAGTAATGACAATGTTGGGCATTGTGACAGTCCCACTGGTACCATGGCATCTTCCCAGCCCCTTGCTGATTCTGCCATCACACCACATCCCGGGCTGAATGGAACCTTGCTGCAGCCAAGGGGAAAGGTGGGGACCTGCTCAATAAGTGGTGGGTGTCACCTCTCAGGCCCTCGGCTCCTGGCCCTGTTTGGCGGCTGCATGCCTCACCCACTAATTGATAGCTAGCTTTTTCTCATCCTCATCTTGGCACCCCACCTCTTTCTGTTGTTTTCCCCAAGTTGCCTTTGATGTCCAATCTTGGCCTATCTTCCTTTTTTTTTAAAGATTGGCACCTGAGCTAGCATCTGTTGCCAATCTTTTTTTTTCTTCTTCTTCTCCCCAAAGCCCCCCCAGTACATAGTTGTATATTCTAGTTGTAGATCCTTCTGGTTGCACTTGGCCTATCTTCTTAATCCCTCTCCCATCTCTCTTCCTTCTTGCTTCCGTTTTTCTCTTTTCCCTTCCTTCTCTCCCTTTCTTGCTCTTTCTCTTCTTCACATCCTACCTCACACATCACTTTTCTCACCTCCAGTGAGGGGGCCTGGCCCTAGCCGTCTTACTTCCTAATATGAATTTCCCTGTCCCCTCCTCACTGCCTGGCCAATCTTGTATCACAGATGCCTCCTGCCCCCAGCAGGTTGGGGCTTGTCGATGAGGCCACCCCATAGTACATGATCCCACAGTGCATGGGTTACTCGCAGCTTAGGGATGTTTTTGGGTGTCCCTGATGGTGCTTCTGCCCTACATCCTGGGATCTAGCAGCCATCAAGCTACTCCAAGCAGGGGATGGCAGGGGTGGCAGGGTATGGTGGGTCAGACATTTGACAGGTTCTGGAGATATCCACATTAGGAAAAATCAGGAGGATTCAGAGAGCTCCTGACCCTACCCCAGATTTCCAGATGGAGGCCGAGGAGGACATCAAATCTAAAACCAGTGGCATCTTGCAGGACCTGCTCCTGGCCCTGGCCAAGGTGAAGAGGACTGGCCTGAAAGGGAAGGGAGTTGCACCACTGGGAAGGGGGTGGAACAAAGTGGGGAGTGTTGCTGTGGTATAATTAACAAGAGAGGGCTTTGGGGGAGACCAGGGTTTGGTTTGTCGGCCTAGAGATAAAAAGCTACTCCTCAATGAGTCATCCTGAGAGAGTTTCTCCTCTTAGGGGCGCCGTGAGAGCTACTGTGGAATCATTGACTATAACCTGGCAGAACAGGATGTCCAGGTGAGTCGGGGACTGAGGAGTCTGCACAGCCATCATATAGGACACCCTCCTCCACCAGATCTTACAGCCGGGGACCCATATACCCATTTGTCCTGCAAACCTGTCCTTGCCTTGAGGAAGGAGTCGTCAGTGACATGATGAAGCCAGGGATGTCAGATGGTGTCACAGGTGAAGCCTTTCACTTGTTTAGCCTCTGACTCCTGGACTCATAAGAAGTGAGCTTGTCAACTGACAGATTCTCTTCTCATGGGCATTTGGGTGGGGGAACCCTCCTCAGACCCTCCCTTGGGGGTAATTTAACTCCTTGAGAACCAAGATTTTTCCAAACTAGGGTATCTGGCTGTGAGAGCAGAGCCCCTCACTTAGCCCTGTACCTTTAAAATAAATAAATAAACTAAAAAAGCAAGTAATTTACAGGTTAATCCCATTTCCATCATCACCACGATGGATTCTGGGAACATCGTAACCAGGGTTCCCCAGCCCCCAACCAACGATCCTGGTTTGCTCCTCCCTCCTAGGCATTAAAGCGGGCTGAAGGACCCACCACAAAGGGGACGTGGGTCCTCGTCTTCACCCAGAGAAATCCTGAGCACCTCGTCCGAGGTACACACAAGCCTTCTTATCTCCCCAGCTTACTCAAATGATGAGTTTTGGCTGAGGAAGGGGGGCAGGGTTCGTGTCCCCATTTGTCTTTCTGATGGCCTCCCATGCACACCGCAAGTGTTCCATCAGTACCAGCGGGACACGGGGCACGAGCTGGAGAAGACTGTCCGGCATCGTTTCCACAGGGATGCGCAGGGGCCTCTGCTCAGCCTAGGTAGGGGCCTGCTCAAGACACGCGGGGTAGGGGTCTGTCCTGGAAGGGGAGCTACCTCTCTCCACCTTTCGCTCTCTGCTTCCAGCCTCAGTGATCAGGAACACACCGCTGTACTTTGCTGATAAACTTCACCGAGCCCTCCAGGTGAGGGGGACGCTCCTTTTCCCTCCCTTTGGAACAGAAATGGGGGGAGACACCTTCTGGGATAGAGGGAACATTTCACACTAAAATGTAACAATCTCGTTATTTACTTTATAAATACATAGCAGCTCTCTTTTCCTAGGTTTATAAACTGCCTTCTCAAGAGTAGAGGAGTGAGCTGTGGTTACAGCTAACTTCGTTGACACTGAAAGGGGGCACTGAAGCTAAAATTTTGGCTGAATTAATGTCTAGTTGGCCAAATATAGATATGAATTTGCTCTGTAAGACAGTGCCTTGTCCAGTTTCAGTTGTTGCCAGAATGGTGATGGTGATAACTCTATCAAGAAAAGTGACAGGAGCCAGCATTTCTCAGGTGCTCATCGTGTGTCAGGGCCTTTGCTGAGCACGTTACACACATTTCAATGAATCCTCACAGCCACACTCCAGCCTTGTTTCGTAGAGGTTACAGAGAAGTAGAGAAGTACAGAGAGGTTAAGTGCCTTGCCCAAGGTCACACAGGTATTAAGTCACATCATCTCCCTGCAAAACACATAATGGTCCGAAAGGATATTTACCTGCCATGTGTCAACTCCTGGTCTGTACCATAGGTGTTAGTCTGCACTATAAGTTATGCCACAGGTGCTCTTAGCACCCAGGACCACCTTTCTCCACACTGGTCAGACTGTGTTCCACATTACCCACACTTAAATTGGCAACCTTGGTTTGAGTAATTTCACCAACAGAATCCAGTCGTTCTGCTCGTTGAGCTAGATCTCCTGTTAATACAACTGTCCCCCAAAACTTATAAATAAAAACTAACAAAAATTTGAAGAATATAAAAGTAGTTATCATTCTGGCAGATGGAATGGCTTTTAGTGTACTGGTGGAGAAACCGTCATGCCTTGTTGATAGCTATTCAAAGGACAGTATATATAAGCACTTGTTTCCATTTTGACAGTAGATTATTGTACTTACCCAATAAAGCCTGTAGTATTATAATGAGTCAACACTAAGATTCATTTAAAGAGTTGCGGTTATCTGTCTAAATTCCTGTCATAAAAACAAATTTGTATCCCAGCACAGCCAGCCCTGGTAGTATAGTGGTTAAGATTTGGCGCTGTCACCGCCATAGCACAGGTTCATTTCCCAGTCAGGGAACCACACCCTCCATCTGTCGGTTGTCATACTGTGGTGGCTGCTGTGATGCTGAAAGCTATGCCACTGATATTTCAAATACCAGCAGGGTCACCCACGCTGGACAGGTTTCAGCGGAGTTCCCAGACTAAGACAGACAAGGAAGAAGGACCTGGTGACCCACTTCTGAAAAAATTGGCCCTGAAAACTCTGTGAATAGCAGCAGAACATTGTCTGATATAGCTCCAGAAGTGAGAGGATGGCGCAAAAAGACCGGGCACTTTCCCCTCTGCTGTACGCAGGCTCGCTAGGAGTCAACTCGATGGCACTAACAATAACAACAACTCTCAGGACCCACGCTCTTGGATGTAAAAGCTACATTTATCTTAGAAGTAGGAGTCAAAACAATAATACAGCCTTGCCTATTTTTCTGAAATTCTGTTTTTAAAAAGGAGAAAGTTAGTCAGGATGCTTCTGTGCTATTCTTTTATGAGAAATGTGTGAAAACATAGATTGTGATGAGTATTTATTCAGAAAAAGGACCTTCGGTGAAGGCTGATTCAGGACAAATTTGGACCACTCTGAACCATAAAATGAATGTTCATTATAAAGATCCTGGGGCAGTATGAGATACCAAGTACATTCTCAGGTAACAAGACTAGAATTATGTTTAATATAGGTTTGACATAAAGGGTACTTGCACACCAATGGGAATATTCAGTTAATGAGTGACTCTTGTCTCAGGTCTTCAACTTAGAATAATAAGAGTCAGAAGAAGGGAAGGACGGATACTGGGGAACAATCAGCAATCTTTATCACAATACAAAAGTGATGACACATGAAATTTAAAATAACGTAGCCATCAGGCCCACTGACAATTAGGTAATGAGTCCAAATGAAATAGAGCATTCTGTTTCTACTTCATCATTTTCTATTGCTTCTTCCTGGGAGTTTATGATCTGTGGGGATGCCATAAGTGTGGGTTTCTGGCAGTTCTGGGAAGGGTCTCGTGAGTCAAGTGACTGAGGAAACTCTGAAAAAGAAGCTATTAGGGAATAGTGACAGCACCAGTGCACAGCTCATGACAAAAATAGGATTTTTGCAACCAAAAGTTTTTATTTAGAAATCTCTCATGATAACACGTTACTTATTATAATCAATTATAATTCATGATCTGATGATGAACCTCTATTATTTCTAAACTGAACCCTCCATGACCTTCTTTAACCAAAAAGTAAGAGGCCTGGTACAGGTATAGGAGGAGGACAGTGATGCTGAGCCCCAGGGGTCCAACTAGGAGAAACTGATGTGTAAAGATGAGGGTGCAAGATGGCCCTGGTGGGTCAGGATCAGAACTGGAAGTCACACAACCCTTCTCACTATCAGAGCCCCATCAACTCAGTTTCGGGATAGGGTAGGTGTATCCTCCTTAGACATTCATTAACTTGGAAGTTAAAAACAGTCTTCCTGGCTTTCACCCTGGAAGTCTTTATAGGTAGCAAGTCTTTTCTATCCTTCTTTGAGTACCTGTCCACCACCAAGCTCTGGAGGAATGAGGCTCTAAGCTAGTGGCAGGGCCAGGAAAGACATGTGGAAGGAACCAGAAATACTCCACTGCCCTCACAGAGACTGATCTTTCCTGTTGCATCATCTTCCATGAGGATGGACTCTGATCATTTTTGCCCCTAGATAATGTATACTTCTCTTTTCCCTGGACTCTGACCTCACTTCCACTTCCTAGAATAATTCACCATGCCGTCCAATCCCTACTCTGTGAGAATCTTACCACCACGCCCTCCCTATTCTGTTTCTTCCCCCACCAGGAAACTGAGCCCAATTACCAAGTCCTGATGCGTATCCTTGTCTCTCGAAGTGAGACTGACCTTCTAAGCATCCGAGCTGAGTTCAAAAAGAAATTTGGGAAGTCCCTCTACTCTTCCCTCCAGGTGAGACTTGGCTAGTTCTTAACCTAGAGTCCCAGAGCTTCGCCCCTTACCTCCGCCCTATACTCCCTGCACAAAGCTAAGCATAGTCACGCCCTGGAGAACTCATGAGTCTTCTGTTAATTTCGTGTAGGACTCCAGGCACCAGACAAGCTCTGGCCCAGCATGAGGGAGGGGACAGAGTGCCTGGGCCATAGTGATGGTAGGTCTTTCTAACTCTTGACTCTCTTGCCTGCAGGATGCAGTGAAAGGGGACTGCCGGTCAGCCCTACTAGCCCTATGCAGGGCTGAAGACATTTGAGGCCTCCCTGCCCCCTATCGCCACATGACATTCAAGGATCTGAGCTTCCCGTGTTTGGCTGAGCCTGCAGGAGACCAGCTGGGCCTCCAAATAGGATAACCCCTCACTGAGCACCACATGCTCCAGCTTCTTGTTGAGGCTGGAACTCAAAGTTTCTTTTCAATCCCTTAATTTCCCTCATCTCAAAGTGATGTCTGCACCTGGTCCCCTAGCTGTCTTGGGTGTGGAGTAATGGGATCTCTTTGGTGTCTCTGCCCTAGTCATCCTTCCCGTAACCTGGCCAGAACATCTCACTGATACTTGAATTCTTTTGGCAAACTTCACTGTCGTCGTGTTCCCTGGTTGAAGTTCGGGTGGAGCAGGACGTGGGCTGGGAGGAGGCCTTGAAGCTGGAGGTGCCTTTGATGTGCACTTGGGTATTCAATAGGATTCCTGTTTTGGGCTCTAGTGCTGCAGTTATCAACAACCCGCCTCCCCTCAGTAACTTCCCCCACCTCCATTATTCTCTTTTCCCCAGGAGATTTCAGGCAAAAAGCACCGAGAACCACAGCGAGGTCAGAAATGGTCAGAGGTAGCAAAGGACCATTTGTATGAACTGGGAAGCAACAGTCAAGCTGGCCCTCCCTTGCCTGGGAAGTCTTGGGTTAGCAGGGAGCACAACCCCCAAATTCCTCTGTCCAAAGCCGGGACTTGGAAACCCACCTCCCAAATTAGAGTCCGTGTTTCCCACTGACGACCTATCAAAAAGATAAACAAAAACAAAAAAGGAAAAAGCGGGCTTTGGTTCCCTCTGCTGGCTCTATTAGAAATGACAGGCAAGCCCTCCCACTCCTCTTCACCCTCCGCCCTGCCCCCCCTGCATTCCTCAATTGGGTCAAATACTTAACCCCACTGCTGCAGGGTAAGACAAACAAGAGATCTCAGGAAAGAAGTTTTATTTCCAAATCCCTAGGAAGGCATTACAAATAATGGATATAGAAACTCAAATCAAACCCTGAAACAGAGACAGGCCTGCAGGATAGCCAGGAGGATCTGGCCAGGCAAGGGTGGGAAGTAGGGGAGATGCATTCTAGACAAGGACTGCCCCCTGGAGCCTGAGTCTGTATATTAGTGTGACTAGTCTGGGGGGAGGGAGTTGGGAATCAGAAATCCTCACCCCACCAACCCCAGCTTTGCCCTGGATGATTGGGGGGAAGAGAAGGAGGCAGCACATGAGGGCAAGGACGTCACTGAGGCTGACCTCGGCATTTACTGCCTGCTTGGATCCCCAAGAGTCCACAAATAAGTTACCCTGCATATCTCAGGGGTTGAGCTGGGGGGAGCAAGCAAAATAACCATCGCCTCTGAAAGAAGGGGCTGGGCAGCGTGGCACCGAGCAGGCTACAGGAGGACGCAGTCAGACTCTTGCTTCGGTCTCTGCCGACGCTCCCCGGCTGGGCGTCCGGAGCTGGCTCCTCTCCCCTGTAACGGATTTAACAATTGCTCATCCATCAACCGTGGAAGAGCACAAGGACAGAGACTCTAGATGGAACCAGGGTCAGGAGACGGAGGGACCCAGGGGAGAGGGACAGACAGGAAAAGGGCCTCGAGGGAAACCTTGAGGAGACAACCGCAGGAATAACAAGTATCTGGACCAGGGGAGGCAGGGCTGGAACCCCGCAGATGTGGGAAGGCCGGAGGAGCAGCACTAAGGTCTCACCTGTGGCGACGGGGCCCGCGCTGGCGCAGGCTGGAGTGCTTGTTGCTGTTGGTACTCCTCTTGCTGAAGTTGCTGGGCCAGCTCCAGGTCGCTGAGCCCCAGTGTGCCTTGTGGCTGCTGCTGCTGCTGCTGCAGGGACAAGGCGATCAGGTAGTCCTAGAGAGCAAAGAACAAGAGCTGTGAGGCGGGCTGGGGCCTGGGGGATATTCAGGCTAGGTTTAGGTTTCCAAACCAGTTTTTCCTCATCCTTCATAAGCTCCAGCTCCTTCTCCTCCAGAGCAAAACACACAGCCAAGTCTATTATCTGTGGTCCCAGAGAATACACGCTGAGCATGGAGATGGTCCAAAGGTAACAGAGAGTAAAGGGCTGTGGGTGTCATGTCATGGTCTCTAGACGATAAAATACACGCAGCCTGCCCATGGCCAAAAGCTCCCTGAGGCAAACGTGGTCTCTGCACCCTTCCCAAAGGCCCCACACACCTGGTCTACCTGCCGCTGCTTTTCGGGGGAGCCACTCCCACTTTCTGCTCCAGGTCCCTTGCCTAAGGAATGACTTAGATGAAAGTCAGAGTCACAAAAGCAGCTGTCTCCATCCACATTGTGCAGGCTCTCCCACACCACTTGCTCCTCCTGGAGAAAGCCCTGGTCGGTGACCAGTAGGTACAAGTGACTCTGCAAAGAGAAGGATAAAGCTAGCTGGTAGGATAGGTGATATGGGGGGATACTTCCAGAAATCAATGAGATGCACAGAGACCATTTGAATCAATTGGTGTGCTGGCTGGAACATGTCAGTCTAAGCATGTGTCTCTTTTATAAGCATGTGCGGCTGTGGGGAGAAGGAAGGGATGTCTGAGTATGGCCAGCTGGGTATGAGTATGGTGGTCATCGTGGTCAAACACAGAGTCCTCTGGGCTGGGGTCCCACATAAGATCTTGCTTCCTACCCTACTTCCTGTGGTTCTCTGGGCTCACCCATTGGCTATGAGGATAAATCCTTTGAGAACCAAAGACCTTTCCCTCTTCTACTCAGTTCTTAGAGAGCTTAGACAATTTCTAACTTTGGAAGACTACAATGTTGTTCAAAAATTCCACTGCCCCTTCCTGGAAGAAGATTTCCTGTCCCATTGATGGCAGGCTTATTCCTTACTGCTTGCTCTGGCCAGTAAGATGTTAGCACAAATGACACGTGTCATTTCCAGGCAGAAGCCCTAAAAGCGAGTGCATAGTGTCCTTCTCTCTCTTTTCCTGCATATATTCCAGATAAAGGCTGTTTTGTCAGCCTGGGTCCCAGAGCGAAGATGATATGGGACAGAACTGCAGCCAATCTTCAATGGACATGCAGCATGAGCAAGAAATAAACCTTGGTTGTGGTAAACCACAGGGATCTCCAGGGTCATCTGTTACTAGAGCTTAATCAACCCTATCCTAACTGAAACACTGACCCAGAAGAAAAAGGCATGAGGAAATGACAGCATGCCAACCCCCCCATCCAAACCCTCATCACCTTGTGCTTAGTCATAGTGCTAAAGTGGTTGTTTCGGAAAAAGACACTAAGTTCACCCTCCTTGGCAGCGGCTGTTAGCTCACACAGTCCGTGATAGGTCAGCTGTGCCGCGGTGGTCTCCAGGAACTGCTCTGCGATCAGGCCTGGCAGAAGGGACAAGATGGGGGTACTTGGCTTAAATCCAAAGTCCACAATAGGAAGGATCACCCAGAAAGCCCGAGGGGTCACTCCCACCTTCTGAAATCCCTTCCTGAAACCTGGCTGTCTTCATTCATTCGACAAATACTAACTAAGCAGCTACCTTGTGCCAGGTACCACACAGGTCCTGGGGGTACATCTGCGAACTAAACAGACAATTTCCCAAACTCCCTCTCCTGAGCTTACGTTCTAGCAGGATATGGACAGGGAGGCAGACAGTAAACAATCAACCTAAGTAGCCATGATTCCCTCCGCAGAAGACAAGGGAGGGACAGCACCTTCGGTCACGAGGTTGGTGTCACTGGAGTGCTTGCAGGTGATGATCTTCTCTACCAGCTGGTTGTAACTCAGTTTCCCAACTGCACTCACAGCCTCAGGACTCTGCATGGACAACCGAGTGGGGTGGTACCAAAAAAACTGAGATGTTTTCAGGAAGGAAATGAACCAAGCCCACAAGGACTGCAACCCTATGACCAAAGGTTCCTGAAATTCTGTTGGCAAAAGAACTTGACAACAGAACTTTGCATGTGGCTTGCTTGGATTTGAAAGTTACTTTAAAAAAAAAAAAAAGGATTAAAATTCAAGGAATTCTGCACTGGGTCCAGCCTCTAAACCCTAATCCCTTCCCAAACCAATCTAATCTCTACCTCCCTAACCACCTCCCACACACAGACATACACACAAAATTTTGCTTCTCTCATGTCAGCTTGAGCTGGATAAGAGTTGCATTTGGACCCTCCCACTCTCACCTGTGGATCAACAAGCCAGCCGTGGTACAGAGGTATGCCTAGCAGGTCAAAGATACTGCACTCGGGTGTATATTCAAAATCAGAGACACCTGTGAATCTCACGTTGACATCCAGACCCGTGGCCAATTTAGGCAGCACTGTCATTGCATCGTCCACATTCTGGAGGGAGAAACAAAAATAATGGATCTCTCAAATCAATACGTTGTACATCTTAAACTTCCACAATGTCGTATGCTAATTATACCTCAATAAAGCTGGGGAAGAAAAAAGAAAATTATGGATATTCTAGTCTCCCCTCCCCCTACTCCACTCCCATCTCCTGAAATAAAAAATTGATCTTGTTGCTTTTCTTCTCCAGTTCTCTTATAAGCCATTCCATTCCTCCCTTGCCTCAACACTTCTTTATCTTATATAAATGAACATATTTTCTAGACAGAGATATACCCTCCTCCTCCTGCAGAAAAAAATCATAGTTCAAGGAACTCTCATAAGAAGCAGCAGAAAAGCTTCTCTTAATAGCCTGGGTGTCCCCTTACAAACCTGCAAACCCCTATGTCCACAGACCTTTGCCTTACCTGCTGAAAATTAAGCTGAAGTCCCTCTGACTTCTCCTGGGGCTTGATGGACAGGAGGCAGTCTCCTACAAGACAGGATTCCTTATCAACTTACCCCACCAACTGTCCCAAAAGCTGCTTCCTTTTCGCCTGGAGAATGGGGGTAATGTCACAGAACCACAGATTTTCAGAGCTGGAAAGGGCCTTAGAATCTAATACAGACCCTTCATTTCTCAAAGAAAGAAATAGGCTCATAAAGGTGAAGGGCCCACCCAAGGTCACTGTGAAAGCTAAGGGCACAACTGGCATTACAACTCAGGGCTCCTGACACCCTGACTTTTGCTTTTCATTCTCCAGTCTCGCAGAGAAGCCCCACAGACCTTTGCCCTCCCTGCCACATCAGAGCACCAAAATGGGGAATCCCTCAATATTCTGAATTTCTGGCTGAATGGCTAGCTCTTGAACCTTTTGGGTAATTCCTCTTCAAGTCCCAGTCACTCACCAAGATGGGCCATGAGCTCATCTGATGTGATCACTTCCTTCTGAGGTGGCAGCTTCACCTGGAGGCAAGGAGTGATCAAAGGGTAAGCCACGTGTGTGCTTTCCTTCACACAGCACTGAAGGAAGAACCCATAGAAAGGTGGGGGGGAAGGCAAGGGTTGTCTAGCGGTAAGGTGTGGTAGAAAAAAAGGCTTGGAACTGGAGCAAGGCAATGAATGTGAGATACTGCAAGGCATTCCCATTTGCTAGAAAGTAGAAGAGACAGAAGTAGACAGATAATTGTTTTGTTTTGTTTTTATGAACATCTTCTCTCATTATACAAGCTGGAGAAATAGGAAGAATAATCTGGAAAGTTTTGACTGGTTTGAGAAAAGCAGTCTGACCAAGGAGGTGGGTCAAGGAAGAGTTCTCTCCCCAACATTTTCTGAGTCCCCATCCAAACTCTCTCTTACCTTCCACTGAAGAAAGAGGATGTTCATGATAGCAAGGAGAGGGCAAGGGCCGTTAGTGCTCTGGGTGATGATGGGTGTCCGCTCTCCCTTCCACGGGATCCACTTTACACAGTAGAAATCTAGCTCAGGCTGTCGGGCCCTGGGGGACTGGGGAAGTTCCTGGGGCCTGGTGCATGCCCCTATTGTCTCTACGTCAGGCTGCGTCCCCTGGGCTGGCCTCACTTGGCTTGAGCTAGCATCAGGTGGAGGGGACTCAAGGTTATCCTGGCCCTGGGACAGCAGTGCAGCTTGGTCTACTGGATCCTGTTCTCTGGCAGCCCCATCAGCATCTCCGGCATCCTTGTCCTGAGGGTGCTCATCAGCTTCTGACAGGACCTCCTGGTTTTCAGGGATGACTGTTTCTGCAGTCCTGGCCTTATCAGAGGCTGGATGCTCAGGGTGATGGTGTTCCATGGTCAAAACGGGTCAACTGAGGAGCATCAAAGGACTTTACTATCCTCCAGGACTTGCCTAATCTAGGCTTGGTATGCAAAAGGGAGACTGATCCAAGAAGAAGGAAATCATTGGGCTGGAAAGCAAATGGATCCAGAAAAGTCTTGGAAAAGGAACATAGTGTGGAAGGCTAGATAGTGTCTTATGTACAGTCACTTCTGGGCAGTACAACTTGGGTAAACAGAAGGGCCCTAGGCTGAGCTCTTTCACCTCTAACTTCCTGTGACCAGATGGGACCAATGAGGGCACAGGGCTTTCAGGCTTGGGAGGGATGATTCCTCTGGGATTGAAGACATCGGGCGGAGTCAGCTTTCCTGAAACAGGTAAGGACAAGGAATGGAGAAAAGATGGACAGAAAGGAAGAGTAAAAGGAGAAAGACAGAAGGGCAAGAGATGGAGAAGGAAATATTAAAACTATACTAATGGTTATTAATACAGTGATCTTCAGCTCTTTAGCTTAGACCTGTTACCTGGCAATAGGTATCACATCAGTAACCCCCACCATAGCCAGGATGGGGGTGATTCCTCTGCCCTACACCAAACCCCGCCCCTTGGCTGTTCAGGGACCATCTTGAGCACACGCGGGCTGCCTGTAGCCTTAGGGCTACCGTCTCTCTGCCTCATCCCAAGGGTGAAAAGATTAACAGCCACATAGTGCTTGGGGTGAAGAGCAGAGACACAGAGTCAGTATCCTGCCCCTAAAGACAAAACGCTAGTGACAAAGAAGGCCTTCACTGAACTTTACACAATCCCACATCACAGCAAACAGGTTTTGGGAGGGGTTTCCTGTAGGCTGGAGAGGGGAAATGTAGGCCATGGAGCCTTGAATCAGAAACTGGTTCTGATAAGTAACTTCAGATTAGGGGCACAAAAATCACTCCTCGCACAAATTCTTCCAGTAAGCTTCTCTTGACAGCTGGAGTTGAGATAGCAACTTCTCCTCAGTTATTCTTTGCTCTAAAAACTGTCTAAACTCAGCGATACTCTCTTGTCCACTATTTATATGGAATATAAAAAGGCTGATTATTGGTTTACATAAAAAATACTCCCTCTACATTCATGTTCTTTCTGTCTATTCCCATCTGGGTCAGTTTAGATATGAACACTGGACCTGTTCAACCTGCTCTCTATCAGCACTAACCATCAAGTCCAGCAGAGGTAGACATTTAATTAATGCTGTGGATAGTAAACGACGAAAACCCACAAACTCCGCCCTCTAGAAAACATCTCCCTTCATCCTCCTTGCTCCCCTCTCCCCCTTATTCAGGGTGAGAAAAGGGGAGAAATTAACTTGTTAGGAATTTCTTCTCTAGCTGCCTCCTAACCTGAGACTATATTTTTTTCTCATAAACTGACAGGAACTTGGGGCTAGCAAAAGGCCTTGGAGATGAAGTTGAGGAAGATGAAAGTTATCCAAATAAGCCTAGTCACCCAAACTGCTCACTTGATCATCCTCCTGATTCGAATATAATTCATGCTAGCTGCATCTCATTTACATGTTGTTAATTTAGAACCAGAGTAGCAAAAATGGGCTGCAGGTCTTACACTTTTTTTTTTCACTCTTTTTTTCCCCTCCTCCCAAATGGCACAAGGATGAGCATCGGAAGCAGAAACCAGAGACTGGGAAAGTGAAAAAAGCTTGGAGAAAAGCAGAGCTCATTTCTTATCTTTTCTGTTCAGTGCCAGAAATGATCAATAATTAAGTGGGGGTTGGGCAGCTAGCTGACCAGAGGGATGAGCCAAAGGAAACCACAAGCTGGACACCAGAGGGAACTGGGTCTCAGAGAAACTGGGCACAGCTAAGTGGGCTAAGTCTTAAGAGGAGGGGCAGGAAATGTAATGCAGGATCTCCATTCTACAAAGTGCACTCCTGGTGGAGTGGAGTATTTCAGAGCAGGAAAGGATGAGGGGGAGGGTACTAAACAAGTCAGAATTTCATTCCTTTCCTCTGCTCTTCTCAAGTCCTACATGTTCTCTCCAGCTGGAATTATCCTCTGCTGGTGAGGGAGTTACAGCAGCCCTGGCCCCTCCCTAGCCAATGGCAGTAAATAGCCAAAAGTTGGAAGAAGCATATGAAATGGGTAAGTAGCTTCAATCAGACACTCCCCGTCCCCCCACGCACCCCGGGAACTTTCCTCTTCCCTCAAGTCCCTTACTGCCCCACTCCAATCGCCTTCTCAGTCTGACCCAAATCTTCATGCAACTAATCCTTTAGATTTTCCCTCAGAATAAGTCCACCACCGCCACAGTGCCTGTCTACCTGCTAGCGAGAGGGAGAAGCTTTCATTAAAAGCAAGAAATCAAGGGACCACACGGTATCCCTTTTACATATTCCTCCTGCCTTAGCTCCTCTCCCAAACCAGACTTGTAGAGACCAAAGGTAGAAGGACAGTCGGTGTCACCTCCCCAGAGCTGGAGAAGAAAAAGAGAACTGGGGGTAGGAAAGGAGATGAGGAAATAGTTAAAGCAAGTTTTTACCTTAAAGAAGTAGGTGCTGGTCCAGGACTGAGAAGGAGGGTTCAGCTCTGGCAATTCGATGGGGTAGGTGGGTACAAGGAGGGGCCCCGCCACGGTCCCAGCTGCCTTCCAGCTGTCAACACCAGAGCTTACACACGTTTATACGGGTTTATGAGCGGCAGTCCTGACTGGGTCTTGGCCACTTCCGGACTCACGCCCACAACCAACCGGGGGCACCAAGGGGGAGGTAGGGGCTCAGCCCAAGTGCTCCCCAGTGGCTCAGAGCGTCTTCAGGATTCCTGAGTCGCTGAGTGTAGGGCATGCGCTCCAGGCCCAGACTGCAAGCTGGTTTTCAAAGGAAGTTTGTGGTTTTTCTTTTTTCTTCTTTCTCTCTCTCTTTTTTTCCCATCGAGACAAAGAAAAATTAGTCAAGGACAAGCTCCCTGGAGGAGGAGGGGCCTGCCCAGCACTGGAGGATTTCCATCGGGGCTTTCTGACCTGGTCAGCAGCTTGGTGATCAGCAGTGAGGGAGAGAGAAACAAGGAGAGAAAAACAACAGACCCTTTCTCTTCCCTCCGCCTGCCGCTGGAAGGGACGGAGCGCTTGTGCCTCTCTGGTGAGAATAGGGAAGAGCAAGTGCCCTTGCAGAGAGTGGGGAGGAGCCGGGCTGGACAGCAGCAGCTTGTTGGATCTGGGCTTTCTCCCTGGGTATGGCAGTCCGTCGCTGTGGATCCAGAGAAGCAGGGCCAAAGAGAGTGATATTTGCATATTTACCCATTTAATGTAAAAGAAAAAAAAAATACTGCTCCTTTCCAAGTCCTCACTATATCATTTTTTTAGTCTAGAAATGAAACTGGTTGGGCTGTGCTCCCGGCAGTGCAGAAGATGTGGAAGAAACCCCAGGCCCTGGGAAGAGAGTGCAGCAGGGAGAGAACCAGCTGAGCCAGCAGGAGATCCAATAGTCCTGTGCTCTGGTCCTTGTTCCCACCACAGGGCTCAGCTGTCATCAGTCACCTCCTCTCAATTCCTAGCTTGGGGAGCAGGAAAAACTGGTGTCAGGCCGGTGGTAGGAAGTAAACTAATCTGACGACGAGAGTACATTTTTCTGCATTACTCTGCATACCGTGGGGCTGGAAGGTGGCAGTTAAAGGAGGTTGGAGCCCAAGCTACATTCCGAAGGGCCCTCCAAACTCTACTTACAAGGCTGCCTGCCGCAGGATGAAACTTCAGGCAACTCTGAAGGCTGAAAGGGCAGTTGGAACAGTTAAGGAGGCAGGCAGCAAAGAACCCAGGTTAGGAGAGTCCAGGAAAAGAATGGGAAGACATTTGCTGAGGCTACAGAAAAAAACAGGTTGTGAAGGAAAAAGCAGCAGGAGTTGGCAAGAGACTGTAGGAATTAAGTAAAAAAGAGGGGTCAAAGATTATTCCAATGTTTTCATAATATGGACAATCAGAAAACTAGTGGTAATGGGTCAGTTTGGTAGAGAGGAGAATTTGAGAAAGGAAGATGAAGAGCTGTTTTTGCCACGTGTAATTTAAGATGTCAACTAGACACTCCGCGTAATATATGGAAAGATGCTATACTTAGCCTGACCCGAGAGATAAAGTTCAGATGTCACAAAGATAGGTTACTGCGACACATATACACTTGTGTGTCAAATGAATGATCTCAGAAAATTCTCCTTTCCTCAATTCTTAAGGACGTTTCGGAGCTTCTGGACTACGTTTCCCAGGACGCACTGCGCCCCGCCCCGCCTAGCGCCTCGGGAAAGTCGTCCCGTGAGTCTCTGGGCGCAGAACTCCGCCTCCGCCGCCGGGGGCGTGGCGACGTCGGACTCCCGGAGCGCTTGATTACGCACTTCCTCCCGGGGGTCGGGGCCAAATCGTTGTGTGGAGGGTTCGAGTCCCGCCTCTTGACTCTAGCCTCAAGCCCTGGAGTCCGGGGCGGGGCTCATTCGCCGGGTAACTTCTCCACGGCGAGGGGCGGCGGCACACCTTGGGCTTCATCATGGAGGACTACCTGCAGGGTTGTCGAGCTGCTCTGCAGGTAACGGACCCCTATCTGTGATCGTAAGGAATGGACCATGGGGTCCAGAAAGAAGGCAGATGTGGGATCTGGGGAGCCCCGAGGGTCTGTGTGGAGGGAACACTGAATTGTGGGGAGGGGGCTTGGGATCTGATGAGGCCTGAGTAGTGAGGAACGGGAACCAGGCTCTTGAGAGTGGGAATACTGCTCAGTCTCCCGGTTTTTGCCCCCCTCCCTGCCTTTGGGGTCTGCCCGAGAACGGGGAAGAGGAATCGTAGGTCTGGGTCCTGCATCTGAGCCTCCGCTCGCTGTTGCCTGGGTTTGTTCCGTCAAAAGGCGACTGTGCCGCCGCCAGTCATGCCCTGCAAGGTGTATTTATTCCTTTCTCCCCGCCCCTCTTTGAGTTCTCCGCTCACAGGGCCTCCACGTGAACCCCAGGGGTACGAGGGAACCGGTGCCTACGCCTTTATTGCCTCTGAACCGCCGTTTCTGTCTGGCTGGCCTAACTCGTTCTAGTTAGAGGTGGTCATGGTGTTTTACTTTAAATCTGTTTTTAAGCTAAACATACACAATACATCAGGCCTATCTGTTGACCCACCACCTGCATTCCTTTGCCTCCAGTTTTCTTCCTCGGCCTTAACGGACATAAATTACATAAAAATCCCCCGCCTAGAAGGAATAAGCACAAAGTGTGTTTGGAATCAAAGCTATAAGCATGACTCTTGAATGCTTTGTGGCTTATTTTGGGTACTCTCTGAGCCAGTTGGAATCTCCCAGCCATGCTGACTGGCCATGCAGCATTAGGCTGCTATCCCCAGTTAGTAGCAAAAAGCTGACCAGAGAGAGGCTCCAGGAGCTCACCTGACCCCTCTACTTCAAATTTCACTGCCCCTATAGAAACCTAGACAGATGGTTGATTATACCTTAACTTTTTAAGTATCTTATACTCTACAAATTCCCCTGGAATCTACAAATCCTGAAAGTCACCTAATTCCTCCTGCAGACTCAGCTGCTGACATAAATGAATAGCCTCACCTGAAGAACAGGGGTGACGTTCAATTTTAATACCAATTACACCAAATTTTCCTTTGTGAAATACAAATTTGGGGAGAGTTTAATGCGTAAGGCAATTTGGAACCAATTCATGTTGGTTACCTCTGATTTCCACCACAGGGTGCTCACTGCAGGACTAATGTAGAGTCTTTGTGGCACCGTTCAAAGTGCTAAGCAATTGAATCTTTTTCCCCCCAGTAACCCAAATGACTCTTTTTTCCACCATTTGGTAAAGAGCCCTTGGACCTGAAAGCTCACCAAATAGCATTTTATTGCATGCATCTATCTTACAGCATCTACCCTCCACAGGCCCCCCCAGGTTAATCATACCAGGTTAGTATATCTTCTACAGCAGTATGACGCTGAAAAATACTGGATTTTTCCAGTATTGCTGGTATCCTGACCTTTCTCTACCGCGTTCTTCCCCTAAGGAGCAAGATCTAGATCTCCTTTTTTCCAAACTTGTGACAGTGAGGTTGTATCTTAGGGCCCTCACCATCACACAGCATAGCAAGGGCCAGAAGAAATGAGAAAATTAGATTTGAAGAATGCTAGTGGGTACACTGGTGGCAGGACATACAGGCCAACTTTTTAGATTGCTTTTAATTATAAAAGTAGTAAATGTACATAGTAAAAAATTTTAAATACAAAAAGGAAATGAAATGGAAAAAAAAAGATCCTTTTTCTTCTCCCCATCCAATTCCCCAGAGGCCACACTGTTTTTCCTTGTGTAAAGAAAGATGTGATTTAGACAGAGACACTATTAAGTTTGAATGTTTCTGTTAAACTGTAATATAACTTTTAGGGAATTGTGAATGCTTGACTTTTACACGGGATAGAGACAGCTGATAACCCAGCCAACTCTCATGTTGATACCATATTTTTAGCATTTGATACCAGAGAAATTTTCTACAGCCTCTGCCGCAATGATAGTAGGATGTCCGTTTAAAAGAAATCCTGACTAAATGCCCTATTCATGGTGACTCATCTTTGACTCCTAGTGTGGAAAAATCTTTGCTTCAGGGTGGGGCTGCATGCAAGTTTAGATGTTCTTCCAGAAGCTTTCTGATAACTCTTATCTGTGTCATCTGCACTTCTCAGGCATGAGGTAGGAATCAGGAGTGGCTAGCTATCCTTAGAAATTTGCATCAGTGTCAGTCAGTCCCATTTTCTCTGCTAGAAGCCCTTCTCTATCTCTGGTTCCTCATCTCCTTTTTTTTCCTCCCTCATTAACTATTTTGTAGAGTAGGCATGAGACCATATTCAGCTTCAGAAGGGAAGTGGTTTACTTTGCCAGCCCAGAGCCCATCCTCTCTCTCCCCATTGAGGCCACAAAGAACATCACGTTATAGTCATTTCAAATAGTGTCTTTTTTTTTTTTTTTTCAGAGAAAAAAAAAGTTTATATTTACTTGTGACTCTCAGGTTGTATTTCTTCCACTGGCAGCTCAGGTTTCCTTATGCTCTAAGCTATATTTGCCCTGAACTTTTCTCATGGTCAGAAAACAGGCTGTTTGGCTTGTGTTTTCAGCTGGTGGGGAATGGGGTGGCGATTAAGAGTTACATATGTTTTTCCTAAATGAAGTTGAGAATGGTGCCTTATCAGTTGCATAACTGTATACCCAGTTTGCCCACGACAGTCTTTGTTTATTCCGAGATAATCACTCATCACATCCCTCTTCATTCTCAAAACTATCCCAGTTTGAACAACAAAGTATATTGTTACCTAACTCCTAAGCTATGTGAAGGATTTGGGATACTTGCCCATGAAAAGACAGCAAGCTCCCTAAGGCTCAGTTCCATGTGAGAGCCACAAGGGCTAGAAGCTGGAGGTTTAGAGGAAGAGGACTGCTCTGGCCTATGTGGTTAGGGAAGGCTTCACAGACCAGGGGCTTTAGGTGGGGCTTGATGGGACAGGGAGGGGGAGAGAAAGGAGAAGATGGAAGGGAGCTCATCTTACTTCCTCCAGAACAGGAGCTTGTGTGCTGTCTCATTCAGTCCTCACAACAACTTCATGAAATCGGTTACAGTATTATCCTCATTTTTATATGACGAAAATGAGACCTAGAGGTGCAGAAGTCCCACAACAAGCAAGAAGCAGAGCTGGGATTCAGCCCCAGGCTGTGGTCTTTCCAAATGGCAGTTCTGCTGCTTTCAGACAGAGAAGGACAGATAGTGCCCAGGGCAGAGCTGAAAATGTGCACATCATGTTTTGCTGGTGGTAAATAGACCAGTCAGGCTGGCATGCTGGTGGGTGCTGACAGGAGGAGGGAATGCCACCCGCTCCCTCCATCCCTCCTGTCCCAAGATTTGCTAAAAGCCCGAGTAGTCCTTTTCTATTAGTTCCTGTGGTTGCTGTCTGGGCTTGGCTGAGTGCAAGGGGTTAGTTATTCACCTTCCTCTTGAGATCGTTTCTCCTCACCTCAGTGCTGTGAAGTTGTATTTGGTCCCTGCCTTCTGCTTTTCTGCTTAGCCTTCTCTCAGTGCTGGGTTTCTGACTGGTCCTGATTCAGCTGCCGCTTGGAATGAAGCGGCAGTAATGTAAGTGAGTTTCAGAAAGGTTCTCTGAGGGCCTCTTTGTGCCCAGCAACAGGTCTCTCCCGCTTGCTCTGGCTTTTCTCTGTTCCTGTTACCTTTTTTCTCCGAAGTGAAGGCCATATGGCCTCTCATGTTTATATAGTTCCCTCTCTAGACAACATAGTGCCCCCCCTCACTGCTTCAGTGAGCAAGTTATCTGTGCAGCCACTTATCTCAAGTGCTTTGTTATCACTTTGGTCCACAGCCATCTGGGCAGTTATTGGTATCCAGGAAATGGAGGGGCCTTCTCTGGTATCAGGACGAGGAATTAGGAATTGCGAGTCAGAGGAGGTACCATAGGACAGGGGTGTTGGTACAGAATTCTCACATTGTGTTGGAAAAGAGTTTAATATTGAAAAGAATCTCCCCTTTCTCATGCTGTTCAGTGTGAATGGGTCTTGGCTGCCACACCTTTCAAGTAAACCTAGAGAAATGGGCGCAAGGAGAACCTAAGGGCAGACGTTGCTCAGGGGCCCTTTGCCCAAAACCGTGACAGGTAACCTCTGCCTTTTGTACTTCTCTCTAGGAGTGGGAGTAGGAGATGGGGAAGAGGGTGGTTTAAAAACAAAATCCTATCTAGTAACTGGATAGGGTAATTTATACCACCAGAAGTCTTCTAAAATTGTCCCTTACTGTTTGTGGCTTTCAGGGGTGTAGAGGGGGGCAGTTATCAGCTGGTACAGGGAGCATGGTTCTAGGTTCCCCTAGGTTCTCCTTTTTTCCTAAACTTATATTACTCGGTAACTGTTCCCTCCTATGTTTTGCTCCTCTGAAGCTCTTCCCACTTTTTAAGACTCTTCCATCTAGTGAATCTTCCCTGACTGAAGAAGGCCGAGTGTTTGGATTTTCACCTTTCTGTAACCCAGTAGTTCTCAACTGGCGTGATTTTGTCCCCCAGGGACTATTTGGCAAGTCTGGAGACATTTTTGCTTGTCATGACTGGGGGTGCTACTGGCATCTAGTGGGTGGAGTCCAGGGATGCTGCCAAACATCCTGCAATGCACAGGACAGCCCCCACAACAAAGAATTATCCAGTCCAAAATGCCAATAGTGCTGAAATTAAGAAACCCTGTTGGTAACCGCATGTCTCATTTTGTCTCGCCTGTCCCTTCCTCTCTCGGAAGCAGGCTGAGATGGAAGTTCAGAAGTAAACTGCTAAGAGAGAATCCTCTGCCCTAAGCCGAGCCACGGACGTTATGGCCTCGTTCCACCCGGCAGAATGCTCATACCTGGAGTGAAATAATAATTCTTAAAGTGCCTACCTCCTTGGGTTGTTTTGAGCATTAAATGATTAGTTAATGCACATAAAAATGTTAGAGCAGTGCATGGCACACGAAGTCGATGTTTCAAAACAAAACAAACCCTTGTCTCTGCACTGTAGGTTTTAAAGTATTTTATTTAAAACTCGGATAGCCAGGGAGATGTAAGGGAACAAGGTTAATAATAACAGCAGATATTCCTCCCTCCTCAGAGCTCTTAGCAGCAGCTGGACTTTTCAAAGCTTTAAAAATAAAAGTTCCAGCAGCAGAGCAACTGTTGTTACTTTAATCTGAACCTGCTGGAGAAAGTGTCTGTCTCTTGGGTTTGAGAGTGTTAGTTCTATCTGGTTACTGTTGAGGTTCCTCAGGCTAGGAGTTTTCATGGACAACTGGATAATGGACTAGATCTTATTTTTACAAGTCTCTTCACCGAGTCTCATGATTTAGAAGTGTAAGGATTCTTTTCCCTATTTTGAAAATGGGAAAAAAACAGATTAGGGTTGATATGGCTTGAATACATCAGCTACCCCAGATGCTCTACCTTTGACTTCTGCTGAAGTGCTCAAAGCAGTATAAGAAACCAGAGAGTTATTTACTACTGTTCTTCTGTAAGTTCACCCTCAAGGAGACACTGCAGTAGAGAGGAAAGAGCACTTTTCCACTAACTAGATGTGTGTGGAATGCTTAAAGCTTAGCTAAAACATGTATGCCCTCCCAGCTAATATCCTCATCCATGAAATGAGGATCCATGAGATTATCTGACCCATCTGCCTCCTCTGAAGATGAATGAGAGGCTGTGTGAAGCCCTACATGAGTGTAAGGTAAATGGAAATGGATAGAGATGCTCTGCTCCTTTCTCATTCTCCTTCCTCCCTCAGGAGTCCCGACCGCTACATGTTGTGCTGGGAAATGAAGCCTGTGACCTGGACTCCATGGTGTCAGCTCTCGCCCTGGCTTTTTACTTGGCAAAGGTGAGTACTTAGGAACAGAGTCCCTTAGAATGACAAGATTTGGATTCAAGACCCAGCTATTTAACACCATTTAGTCTTGGGTAAGTTAAATCCCTTCACTTTGCTGAGTATCTCATGTCACCATCTATAAAATCTGAAATGATAATATTTTGCAGTGTTGCTGTGAGGATCAAATGAGTAAATGTATTTTGAAGAATTTATAGACTATGAAGCAATATTCAGATAGTGTATCCTTGGGTTGCTTGTGGGTATCAGAGACCTAACGTGTATTCCACATGCCCAGGTAAGCTCTTGAAGACTGATGATCCCTTCTCTGCAACATCTGGAACTAGGTCTTTTCCATGAGTTACCTTGTTGACCTTCATGTTATTGCTAAGAAGGAGAGGGCAAGAGTCGTCCTTTTACTTTTATCGTCTAGGCAATTATGACTTTGAGAAAGGCCCTAACTTACCCAAGATCATGTCTCCCTCAATTCCAATAGTCTTGTTAATTTTCCTGTCTATGCCAAAATATTGCCATACCTTCTTTTCACTTTCCTATCCAGACGACTGAGACTGAGGAAGTCTTTGTGCCAGTTTTAAATATAAAACGTTCTGAGCTACCTCTACGAGGCGACAACGTCTTCTTCCTTCAGAAGATGCACATTCCAGAGTCCGTCTTGATTTTCCGGGATGAGATTGACCTGCATGCATTGCACCAAGCTGGCCAACTCACTCTCATCCTTGTTGACCATCATGTCTTACCCAAGTAAGTGGAAGGAAGTTAGTTAAGCTGATACTTATCATGTGCCATGTTGGGCTCTGATGAGTAAGATATAAAGAGAGGAAGAAAGAATTTTTGCTCTCAGGGATCTCACAGGCTAATTGTAATTGATGGGTCATATCAGATATAGAAAATTAACAAAAAATATTGTCAGTTCTCCAGCTATGCAAATAATGAAAAGAAATAGAAATATGGAGAGTTCAAACTAAAGGATAACTCAAAAATCATTTAAATCTGCTTTTGGTATCACTATTTTAAGATTTCATGGCATGGGGCCGGCCCGGTGGCACAGCAGTTAAGTGTGCACGTTCCATTTCTCAGCGGCCTGGGGTTCGCCGGTTCGGATCCTGGGTGCGGACGTGGTACCGCTTGGCAAAAAGCCATGCTGTGGTAGGCGTCCCACATAGAAAGCAGAGGAAGATGGGCACGGATATTAGCTCAGGGCCAATCTTCCTCAGCAAAATGAGGAGGATTGGCAGCAGTTAGCTCAGGGCTGATCTTCCTCAAAAAAAAAAAAAGATTTAATGGCAGATTCATTATAAGAGAAACCATTTGAATGATGGTCGCAACTCTATTCTTAATTTTTAAAAAGTTAGCAAAATTATTTCCTACATAAGGCAATATTTCATTAGTGTCTGTTTAACAGATGTACACACCTACCATAATTCCATCCCTTATTTAGGATTGGAAAAAAACTGCCGACAAAGCAACGCAAATATGAGACCTTCCTAAGTCTGTCTGGCTCCTGCTAATATTAAAATGTGGTTTTTTTTCTTTGAGCACACTGGTTATAGCAGGACGTTGACAGAGGGTAGCCTAAGGGCATTAATCCATCTACCCATTCACTCATTAATAAATGTCTATTTAGAGGAAGAAGGTGAGACAGTTCTTCTTCCCAAGAAACTTTCAGTCAGGAACAGGGAACTGGGCAAACGGGTCATTGTAATGGGTATTAGAGGTAATTGATAACTATCCCTCTAGGGAACAGGAGGTGCAGGAAGGACACAGCAGTTAAATGTACTAGAGGAGGAGAGGGTGTCAGGAAAGGTTTCCTAACAGAGTTGACCCTTGATCTCAGTCTTGAAAGAGGACAGGGTGTTTGCTCAGTGAATGGGGAGGTAAGGTAGTCAGGAAAAGCATCCAGGCAGAGAGAGTAATTAATGTAAGCAAAAGCAAACAGGCATGAAATGGCATGGCGAATTGGGGGAACTGGAATTTGTTTTGCATGGCTGGAGCATGAAATATGAGGGAGAAGTAGGACATGGAAAAGGATAAGATTAGAAGGGTAGGCAGGGCCAGATCATGGAGACCTTGTACGCCCTGCCAAGGAGGTTAGACTTTATTTCAGGGCAGTGGGGAACTATTGTTAATTATATTTATTCTAGGTCCTAACAGAATCAAATTGGCGTTTTTCAAATGATCATTCAGATAGCATTGTGGAGCACAGTTTAGGAGGGCCCAAGACTGGCAGCAGGTGTTTGGTTAAGAAACTGTTGGAATAACCCAAATGAGAGATATTGAGGGCCTAGAATAAGGCAGTAGCAGAGGGTTGGAAAGGAGGGGAGGAATAGGAATTGAGACAGAAGCCATAGGATCTGGTGACCTGCATGGAATTTGAGTATTAAGTGAATTAAGGGAACAGGAGAGATTTAGATGTTGGATGTCAAGGATGTCAATTGGAAAGGCAACCCTAAAGGACATCAAATATGTGCATTAAGATATTGGTAACAGATACTTTGCCAAATTCACTTATACTCCATTTAAAGATGACTTCAGTCATAACATTAAAGAATTGAGAGAGGCAGAGGTCGAAGTGACCAAAGGTCTAAGTGTCTGCATTTTCCTTCGTGAATGAGAGGGAGATTGGTTAGAAGCAGTTGGAGTACCCCTACCTGTCTCTCTTTCTCTTTTCCCCACACCCCCGCTTCCTCACGCAGAAGTGACGCAGCCCTAGAGGAGACAGTAGCAGAGGTGCTAGACCACCGGCCCATCGAGCAGAAACACTGCCCTCCCTGCCCTGTTTCAGTTGAGCTGGTGGGGTCCTGCGCTACCCTGGTGACGGAGAGAATCCTGCAGGGGGCACCAGAGATCTTGGACAGGCAAACTGCAGCCCTTCTGCATGGTGAGGGTGGCTTGGGGATTGGGACCTGACTAGTTGCTCTATTCCCATTCCAGAGAAGGGAGAGTGGAAAAGTCTAGACTCTTCCAGCCTGAGCATACCCTCTCAAAGCCATTCGGTCCATACCAAAAGATGGGGTTCTTTCAGAGAGCAATCAAGCATTGAAAGGCTATCAAATACTTTGTTTTTTAAAGGGCTGTGGGATACTTTGTTGGAGAAAGCAGAATGGAAGCACGGGACAATAGATCTAGAAGCTGCCTATTAAGCAGCATTGTATAATGGAAAGAAGACTAGCCAAAGAAGCAGGAAATGGATTCCAATACCATTTCTGCCCAGGAAGTAGTTATGTGACCTTGAGCAAATCTCTTAACCTTTCTTGCTCTCATTTTCTGCATTTGTAAAAAAAAAAAAACAGAAAGAGGGTGAGTTGGACTAGATTATCTCTTCCAGCTTATAAGATTCTTTAATGGAATTTGGCCTACAGAAGAGAGACCATCTCTCTGACTAGGTTTCAAAATCCCCAAGGATTAAGATGTTCAGGCTTCCTTTCTTCCTTTTCCTCATTTCCCTGCCTACATTTTAGTTTGGATTTGGGAGGTCTAACTCAGGACAGTCCCATTTCTTGTTTTGTTTTCAGTGAGTTTCCTCTGTGTTGTGTCCATTTGGCTTGAGGGCCATGTGTGTTCTAGTAGTTGTGAATGGAGGGCCGCAAGATTTGCATTCTGCCCTCTCCCTTCTGCACAGGAACAATCATCCTGGACTGTGTCAACATGGACCTTAACATTGGAAAGGCAACCCTAAAGGATAACAAATATGTGGAGAAACTGGAGGCCCTCTTCCCAGATCTGCCCAAGAGAAATGACATCTTTGATTCTCTGCAAAAGGCAAAGTTTGATGTATCAGGTATGAACTGTTAAACTGATTTCTCTCCCTCCCACATGAGAAAACAGGTGGGCAAGCCTTGTTCCCTATATTCCTGAACACCATCAAGCAATTTCAGAGCATGCATGATTTTTTTGTGTGTGTGAGGAAGATTAGCCCTGAGCTAACATCTGCCGCCAGTCCTCTTTTTGCTGAGGTAGACTGTCCCTGAGCTAACATCCGTGCCATCTTCCTCCACTTTATATGTCGGATGCCTGCCACAGCATGGCTTGCCGGGCAGTGCCATGTCCGCACCTGGCATCCAAACCAGCGACTCCCGGGCCGCCAAAGCAGAACGTGCAAACTTAACTGCTGCACCACCAGGCCGGCCCCCACCTTTTGTTTTTTTAAAAAGAATAGATTGTCACCCGAGCTAACATCTGTTGCCAATCTTTTTTTTTTTTTCTCCCCAAAGCCCCACAGTACATAGTTGTATATGCTAGTTGTAGGTCCTTCTAGTTGTGCTATGTGGGATGCCATCTCAGCATGGCTTGATGAGTGGTGCTAGGACCACACCCAGGATCCAAACTGGTGAAACGCTGGGCCACCAAAGCTGGAGTCTGCAAACTTAACCGCTCAGCCGCTGGGCCGGCCCCAGAGCATACATGATTTAAGCTTTATACCAGAGAGAAATGAGATAGCGTGTGAGTCTGATCATGAACTAATCAGTGAGTTACTGGATTATTCTATCCTGGCTATTGGGGAGGATGATGAGGAATATATTAAGAGTCCCAGAGGTTTTCAGTCTATTCAGAGAATATAGACATATAAATAAAATATGCCAAGAAAATATTAAATTATCAGAGTGAGACCTAGATAATTGGTTAGGGAAGCAGAAGAAACATTTAGGGTGAATAAATAAAGGACAAAGGAAGAGAACAAAAACTTTCATAATTTTCTACCCAGCTACCACTTGTTAACATAAATAGAAAGAAAAGTACCACATGTACTTTTAGAAAGTTAAAGCAACACAGAAAGGGAAAAAATCAAAAGTAAAGCCTCCTTCTTCCTTTTACCTTTCTCTCCAAAGTCCCTTGCTCTAAAGATAACTGTTGTGACCCAGTAATTTAAGGTAATTTTTATTATTTAAAGTAATGTTTTTTAAAAGATTTTATTTTTCCTTTTTCTCCCCAAAGTGCTCCCGGTACGTAGTTGTATATTTTCGTTGTGGGTCCTTCTAGTTGTGGCATGTGGGACACTGCTTCAGCATGGCCTGATGAGCGGTGCCATGTCTGCACCCAGGATCTGAACCAGCGAAACCCCAGGCCGCCCAGGCGGAGCGCGAGAACTTAACCACTCGGCCACGGGGCCGGCCCCTAAAGTAATTTTTTATTACATCATTGCACTCTCGGTTATCTCCTCTGTTCATTACCCCAAAGAGAGGCTGTGTTTTTCATCTTCCTTGACCCATCTTGGTATCCTCATCTTCCTGGTCTTGGGGCCCTGGGCTCCCTTATTTGACCCCAAATCTCGCATTCACTTTCTAGGACTGACCACTGAGCAGATGCTGAGAAAGGACCAGAAGACCATCTCCAGACAAAGCACCAAGATGGCCATTAGTACAATATATATGGATTTGGAGGTAAGGGCAAGATGTAGGCGTGGGTGGGGAGAGAAAAACCTTCAGCTGCGTGTGTAACCTTGCCCCTCATTCCTGGCTCACCTCCAGAACATGTCTTGTTCCTGTCTGCTTTTCTCCCTCTCTGCTGGAACTCCCACCGTCCGTCATCTTTCACTGCACTGCTGTAATAGCCTCCATCCTACTTTCCCTGCCTCTGCATTTGCATCCCTACGAACCATTCTCCCCGCAGCAGCCAGGTGATCTCTTCAAGATGGAAATCAGATCATGTCAGCCCCCTCCCTTTACTGCCTTTTCATTGCACTCCTGATAAAATCTAAAGGCCTTACTGTGATTTACTCCTTGATCTGGCCCTTGTCTTCTCTCTGTTGTCATCTCGTTCCAGCCCTGCTCCTGCACTCATGATACTGCAGCCACACTGGTTTTCCTTCTGTTCCTGGAACCATTAAGCTCATTCCCACTCAGGGCCTTTGCTCTTGCTTTTCCCTTTGCAGAGCTGGCTCCCTCTTATCATTCAATTCTGAGCTCAGATGTCTCCTCTTTTAAGAGGTTTGTCCTGACCACTGTAACTGAAGTGATACCCTCCATGCTAAAAATCTCTAGCAATTATCTTATTTTGTTTTCTTCATAGTACCTAACACACTGAAATAATGTTTCATGATTTCCTTGTTTATTGTCTATATTCCTCTGTTAGTTTATCAGCTCCGCAGAGCAGGGACCCTATTTTGTTTCTGCTATATCTCCAGCACCTTTGACTATCCTGGCACATAGTGGATGCTCAATAACGATAACAGTGTTTTAACACCTGATTCCATATCATACTGGTTTAAATCATTCAACAACCTGATATAAACATGTAACTCTCATAGTCCGCACAGCTTTCTACTAAATACCATCTAAAAATACTGAATAATTAAATAAAACAAAATAGTATGGCCTCTTCCCTTTCAACTCATAACCTAGTTTGAGAAACAAACATAAGAACATAAAAGGCTTGCCAAGTACCGTAATCACAGTACAAATGGTCACAATAGAAATGCCCAGGGTAGAGAAAAGCGCTGGTCTGAAACAGCTGGTGGTATTATTCGTTAGAGGAAATACTGCATGAGATTTTGGAGAAGAGTATGTAGATTGGCAAAGAATGAAGAGCCAAGGATGCACTTGTCACATGTCTGTTCTTATTTATATGCCCCATTGTTCTGTTTTAGAATAAAAATACCCACAAGGCAAAGACCTTGCTTGTTTGATTGCAAGAGCAAGAGAGCCTTATACATACCATACACATTACATATATTACCATTTTTTAATTCTTCACACAGTCATGTTTGGTAACTGTTTTATCCCACTTTATAGATGAGGAAACTTAGCTCTAGGGAACTTGATGTAGCTCTTAGACCACAGAGCCAATAGGTAATGCAGCTGATTCTGAAACCAGTTCTGTCTGAACCTAAAGCCTGTCTTTTCATTCTACATGCTGCCTCCCAGCACCTATACAGCACAGAGTAAATCCTAGATACCTTTTTTGTGGAGTACGAATTCCAGGTTAACATGCAAAGAAGCAGTTCCTAAGCGTTTTTTTGTTGATGGTGACAGGGAGGATCCAGCGGTAGCCCTCATCCCTGTCCATTTCTTCTCTTTCAGGCCTTTCTGCAGAGGTCTGGCCTTATTGCAGACCTCCATGCTTTCTGCCAGGCTCACAGCTATGATGTCTTGGTCGCCATGACTATCTTTTTCAACACTCACAATGAGCCAGTGCGGCAGTTAGCTATTTTCTGTCCCCATGCAGCGCTCCGAATGACGGTGAGTCTCTGTCCCTTCTCCAACCTGAGGGCCCTACAGGGCTCAGCCTGTACACACTGCCCTGTGCTGTAAAGACGTCTCCTTGTTCTTATCTTTACTCAGAGGTCCCTTGACCTATTTCGAGAATCCTGTCTCCCCACTTTTTTCCATTCTCTCTGTGAATATCCTTATCGTACTGTTGTTGAGAAAGAGAAATGCCAAAGAGAATTAGAGATACAATTCCTACTTAGAACGAACTTGAAATCTGGTTGAAAGGAAATGTTATAAATCTGGAGTTTTTAACTGAATCTCGGTTTAATCATTAGTTCCTCGTCCCTGAAAGTCAATTCCTTTTTTCTACCCATTGCCTTGAAAATTGGAAACAAAAGAGAAACCTTTTCTACTGCCAGCCATGCAAGGATTAATTACTCGGTGTAGCAGTAACTCTGTCAAGAAGTGATCTAGGAGCAGGTTTGTTTTCTTTCCTGATCATCCGTTCGGCCTCCTTTCCCACCTCCTCCCCTTTCTTTTCCTCTGTTGGTTACTGATTAGCCCAGGAAGGAATTTAAAAGTGGCCTAAGGCATTGCAGGGACTCTTTGGGTTGCGTGGGCTATGTGAAGACTGCTGAAGACTGGTCTGAATAGAGCTGGGTAATCATTTGTGGCCCTAAAAGGTGTGTCTGCCCTTTCCCGGCCCTCTTCACCTTTGTCTTCTCCTCCAGGAAGCAAATGTGATTCCATTTAGTGGAAGGTAGTTTGCCATTGTGAAAAGAACTACAGTTTTGTTTTGTTTTTTTAAGATTTTTAAATTTCTTTTTCCTTTTTCTCCCCAAAGCCCCCCGGTACACAGTTGTATATTCTTTGTTGTGGGTCCTTCTAGTTGTGGCATGTGGGACGCTGCCTCAGCCTGGCTTGATGAGCAGTGCCATGTCCGTGCCCAGGATTCAAACCAACGAAACCCTGGGCCGCCTGCAGCGGAGCGCGCTAACTTAACCACTCCACCACGGGGCCGGCCCCAAGAACTACAGTTTTTAAAGGCAGATGGACATGCTTTTCCATCCCACATTTGCCACTTACTTGCTCTTTGAGCTAAGGCAAGTCAGTTGACTTCTGAGTCTGTAAATGGCCTAATATTACCTAGTAATTAGTCCAATATGATCATTAAACTTAACATGTTTTACGTAAAGTACATTGCTGGCACAAAGTAAGCACTCCGTAAATGGGGGCTCTTACTAATCATGTCATGAAGACAAGGGTGTTTTGGCTGTAAGTAGTGCTCTCCCCACCTTCCGAAATCTTCCCTCTTTCTCCTCCCACAGCCCCTGTGTGCTGCTCATCTGAAGCTGTGCACATTTCTTTTTTGTGTGTGTGTGGAAGATTAGCCCTGCGCTAACATCTGCTGCCAATCCTCTTTTTGCTGGGGAAGACTGGCCCTGAGCTAACATCCGTGCCCATCTTCCTCTACTTTATACGTGGGACGCCTGCCACAGCATGGCTTGCCAAGCGGTGCCATGTCTGCACCCGGGATCTGAACCGGCGAACCCCGGGCCACCGAAGCGGAATGTGCGCACTTAACCACTGTGCCACCGGGCTGGCCCTTGAGGCTGTGCAGATTTCTGATGGCTCTGCCATTGCCCAGGCTGCCTCTGGGCTGGTAAATGGGAGTCCTCTTCACGGCCTGCCCTACCATTTCCTCTCTTCCTTCTATGTTAGGAATAGTATAATAGAGTGATTTCGAACACCGGCTTTGGTGAGAGAGCTGGATTCAAGTGTCACCTTTGCTTTATTCAAACTATGACCTTAGGCAAGTTACCTAATCTATCTAAGCCTCAGTTTCCCTACCTGTAAATGAGGGTGATAGTAATACCAATCTTATAAGGTGGTTGTGAGGATTAAATGAGATAATATTTGTAAATGGTCAGACTTGGCACCATGCCTGGCATACCTCCCACCCCAGTTTGATCTAGTCATGCTTTGTGCCTCTGTCCTTCTCCTGACTTCAGTGTAGATGCTTGTCTCATCCCAGCTGTGGATAGAGTTCAAGTTTTTGAGCACAGGAATATACTTGGAAACACTAGGTTAGGAGCTGGGGGTCCTGGTTTCTGATTCAGACTCTACCATCATCGACATGATTTTTCTCAAGACACTTAATCTCTCTGGGCTTTGGCTTACTTATTAATAAAATGAAATATATGATCTCAAGTGTTTCTTCTGTTTCTAAAATACTTTGTAGGGGCTGGCTCCATGGCTAAGTGGTTGAGTTCCTGAGTTCCGCTGCGGTGGCCCAGGGTTTTGACAGTTCAAATCCTGGGCTCGGACATGGCACCACTCATTAGGCCATGCTGAGGCGGCATCCCACATACCACAACTAGAAGGACCCACAACTAAAACTATACAACTATGTACCGGGGGGCTTTGGGGAGAAGAAGGAAAAATTAAAAAATAAAATCTTTAAAATACTATGTATATTAGCTGATGTATCTTTTGTTGCAAGCAATAAAACTGAACTCTGGAGGACTTAATGAAAAGAAGATATTTCTCTTCTGTAAGAGAAGCCTCTAACTTAGAAGCCTTAGCTCTTTGCTTCACCACCTTATATACTGTTTCCCTGGCTTATCTCCTCTTTAGATCTGTGGTGTCCTGGAACGTTCCCAGTCTCCGTCCCTGAAGCTGAGCCCTGTCCCAAGCTCCCACCCTAACCTCCAAGCCTATCTTCAAGGCAACACCCAGGTCTCTCGAAAGAAACTTCTGCCTCTGCTCCAGGAAGCCCTGTCAGCGTATTTTGACTCCATGAAGATTCCTTCAGGGCAGCCTGAGACAGTGGGTGTGTCCAGGGATCAGGTGGACAGGGAATTGGACAGGGCAGGGAACTCCCTGACTCCTGGACTGAGTCAAGATGAGGAGGAGCCTCCGCTGCCCCCCACACCCATGAACAGCTTGGTGGATGAGTGCCCCCTGGATCAGGGGCTGCCTAAACTCTCGGCCGAGGCCATCTTTGAGAAGTGCAGTCAGATCTCGCTGTCACAGTCTACCGCTGCCTCCCTGTCCAAGAAGTGACCATTGGGAGGGGAGGGGATAGTGAGAGAGGTTGCTTGAACCACTTTGAATGCATGTTTTAAGATGTTTCAGCAATTCTGACTTTATTGCTCTGGGATCTGGTGTACCGTTCTCAGAAACCTGGGAGGAGAAAGAAGTGGAAGAAAGCAGCTGCTTTAGGAATGGCTTTCTCCCTTGTCCCCCCAATCTCAAATCAGACACATTTTATTGTTTAATTTAAATCTTTAAATCTGCACTGACTCTCCTCTATTTCATTTGCCACGGGCACAATGTAATACATAGACAGTTCCAGCAGAGCAGCACAAAAAGAATGTGTATCCCAAAAGTGCCCTCAGTACCAATCTCTCTCATGGAATCAGACATTCATGTATTGAATCCATGTCTCCAGGTATTCATTTAGTCTCTTATTAATTCGAGTATTTATTGAGTCCCTACTTTAAGCTAGATAGAAAATAGAGTGTGCTTTGGAAACTTATTCCGGTTGTTAGCCTTTAGCAGATTTCTAGCTCCATAATTCCTCTTTCTGTCCCCAGTTTGGTAATGGTGTCTGATTCTGAGATGGCTAAATTTCTATTCTGAACTTATTGTAGCTCTTTCAAGATTGTTTGGGAGCAGATTGGAGACCATTATCATCTGTCCTGATCAGGTGGCCTGGCTTTCAGTTTCTTTGGATCTCTCTGTCCCAGGGCCACAGGGTTCTGAAGAGACCCAGAAGACCCCTGGTTCTTGAGAGTTCAGGAGACACCCAGGAAGGCCTTAAGACCTTGTAGACACTCTTCCCAAAAGACAGCAAAACTGCCTTGAGAGCCCTGGCTCTGTCCCCTGCCTTGGTGGATCAGTCAATTTCTTGTCCATCTCATTGTCTTCTTGCTCATATTAAAAGGATGATACCGACTACCATGAACTATGTATCTTTGGGCAAGAAACTCTAGGTCTCATTTTTCCCATCTGTAAAACTAAGGATCTGGACTAGATGTTCTCTGGTGTTCTGTGACCTGCCTCTTGCTGCCATTGTTTCTCTCCTCTGCTTCTCTGGGTTTTTTTCCTGTTTTCCCTGGGAATGCTCAGGGTCACTGGATTGTCTGTATTTGTATGTGATTGTACCAAGAGACTCAGCCTCATGTAGCATGTACAGGGATATGACTCGTACATAGTGACCCAGCAAAGAGCTCCCTCCCACTGATTTGTTCTGCATGTGTAGAGACTCCCTTTTTTCTTCAGACCAACCTGTTCCCCCTTTTCCTACCCCATAGCTCTGCTCCATGAAAGTTGCCAGTGGTTTCACTGAACAGTAGGGTCTGTGATGGTTTTGGCATGACGTCTTCAGTGTTTGGGGGACAGTCTGACTTCACCTTGAGGGTGTGATGTCTGTAGTCATTGGAAGGTAAAAATAGTGGTGTGATTACTGAACCAAAGGAATTTATGTTTTGTAACTTGGGTACTTTATTTTGCATTTTGTTAAAGTATTAAATACTTTTTTCCTGTTTGGGGTCTTATTGCCTCTTTTTACAACTGTAATCAAGCCATTCCCTCGATAATTGTTTTAGCCTCCTCAAGATTCATCTCCCTTCTTCTTGCTGTGCTTAATGTCTTCCTTCTCTTGACTCTTCGTGGGAATAAAGAGCAACAGTCTTCTATCTCCCCTTATCCTCAGCCTTTCCTTTAATTGTTTCTTCTTCCAGAACCCTCCTTATAACATACTTCTGTGTCCCTGATTTTGCTTATGCTCAAAAAGTAGGCCCAAGATAGTCTTAAAACCAAAATGATTTTTACTGTCACTGTTTTTTTTAAAAGATCAGCTTCCAGGATATAAGGAATCTAGAAAGAAGAACAAATTGTCTTGCTAGACTCCCCCAAAACGAGCCACTTTAGAAAATATACGCTCCTCCCCAAAACCCTCCCCCACATAGTCAGAGTTTTTCTTTTGGGCAAACCTGCTCCTTGGGAAGGGAGGTGGCAAAACCTGTTTGAAGGTGAAGTTACCTCCCTTCTACACCTCCCTCCTTTGAGGCAACAGCAACAACAGCTCAGGCAGAGAAAAGGGTACAGAAGTGTTGGGGAGCTGGGACAACCAGCTCCCTGACATTTCCAAGTGTTTAAAGAAGGAAACGAAGACTTGTGACGATGGGAACTATGCAAGAGGCAGGAGAAAAGACATTCGATCTTGGGTAAGTAAGATCTCGGTTAACTTGATTAGAAACACGGAGTCACTAGTCTTGAGGGACTTTCCCACCATCCATTTCTCACAGGTCAGATCTCAGGTTCCTAGAGGAGACAAGGTTGAAAGAGAGTTAATTTGCAGAGAAGGGATGGGGGTGGCTCTGGGTAGGAAATGTCAGAACGGTATGGGAACTGGGGAACAGGGGATTCCACATAATTCCCTTTTTTTTTTTTTTTTCCCTTTTTCTCCCAAAGCCCCCTGGTACACAGTTGTATATTCTTCGTTGTGGGTCCTTCTAGTTGTGGCATGTGGGACGCTGCCTCAGTGTGGCCTGATGAGCAGTGCCATGTCTGCGCCCAGGATTTGAACCAACAAAACACTGGGCCGCCTGCAGTGGAGCGTGCGAACTTAACCACTCGGCCATGGGGCCAGCCCCAGCCCTATTTTTTGTTGTTGTTTTTTTTTTTTTGGAGGAAGATTAGCCCTCAGCTAACTACTGCCAGTCCTCCTCTTTTTGCTGAGGAAGCCTGGCTCTGAGCAAACATCCATGCCCATCTTCCTCTAGTTTATACGTGGGACGCCTACCCACAGCATGGCTGCCAAGCAGTGCCATGTCCGCACCCGGGATCCGAACCAGCGAACCTCGGGCCGCCGAGAAGCGGAACGTGCGAACTTAACCGCTGCGCCACCGGGCCGGCCCCCCCCAGCCCTATTTTTTTAAAGGAAGTTTCTATATTTTGTGTCTGATAAATCTGCCCCTGTTCTGTTTTCTAACCCCCACACTCCAGAATGGCCATCAGGAAAGGTGACCTAGAACTAAGTTTTGGTCCAGGTTCTCCTTCCCAGCAAATCTCTCTTCCTCCTTACTTTCTTCCCCCACCCTTCCACCTATGGTGGTTTCCCCTAACCACTCCCCGGCATGGAAAGGCAGGCCTGACTAGGTGCCATCTTTCCCAACTTTGCCCAGTGACAGCTGGGCAGGTCTGTCAGGTTCCAACCAATTGTAACGTGGAATGCCTCTCACCCCTAGCGTGTAGGTGGAGCAACTGCCACGGAGGTAAATATGATTAGCTTTACATTCCCTCCTTCCTTGGCTCCTAAACCCAACAGTTAGGGTGATCTGTTTCCAGCAAGTGGTAAAGGTGGTATAAATATCTGTCTAGGAAACAAGACCTGAGTTCTTTTTAAGGCCTTACCTCTACTCTGTACCTTAGTTACTGTTCTTCATGCCAGTGTCTCCTACCTACTCTCCAGTTCCCTTAAGACACTGCCTATTTTTGTCTCATGATAATCTTTTCTTCCTGGGGACTATCTTAGGGTCAGGGAGAATGCAGAAGCAGCAGGACTAGCAGCATCCCCAAGACTTGGGGAACTGGAGCCGAAGGAGGAATGGCAGGATGAAGAATTCCCTAGGTGAGGAAGTGTGAGGGAGGTTGGGAGAAGGGAGGGATGGTTACAAATGGAGGGCCGGGATGGTAAATTAGGGCTTGAAGGAAAGAGGTGGGAAAAAGAAAGCAGAGGTGGTGAGAGAAAACTGACAAGGTGATACCTGGCGTGATGCCTTTAACCTGTATTTCTGCCCCCATTCAATCTTTTCCCCTCTAGATTGCTTCCTGAAGAGGCTGACCCTTCTGAAGATCCTGACTATCCTAAAAGAGACTCGCAGGCAGGTAGGTAAAGTAGAACGTAGGCCTCCAGTTCTTGATTCTAGTCCAGTGAAGGGTTATGCCACCCTTATCCCTTTGCAGTTCTATTTCCCTTTTCCCAAATGTCCCCTGTGTTAGTCCTTCTTTAGAATTCACCCCATATCATCACTTCCATATACAGGCATTCTGACCTCCCTCCGTCAACACACATCTTTCTATTCTCTTCTTCCTCCAACCCCAGGCACCCCCAGCACTTTAGCCTTGTGTGGCCGGCGCCCCATGCGCAAGCGTCTTTCTGCCCCAGAGCTGAGACTGAATCTGGCTAAGGGGCCTGGAGATGCTGGAGCTTCTCCCACCCACTCTGTACCTTCCTCTTCTGATGGCAGTTCTGACCTGGAGGTAGACGAATTGGAGACACCTTCAGACTCGGAGCAGCTGGACAGTGGACATGAATTTGAATGGGAAGGTGGGAAAGAAACCTGAGGACTGAGCTGGTAGAAGTAGAGGCCAATGTTAAAGAAGCTCAGGATGGATTTAGTGGGACTAAAGTTAGAACTAATAAGGTGGGGACCAAGAGGTAAAGTCAGCAGAATTATTTCTTCAGAATGGAAAAGTAGAGCCTGTAAATCCAACGTGAGAGTAGTGTATGTGTGTGGGGGGTGTCCTTTGTTTATCAGTTCATTTATTGAATGACTATTACATGTTATCACTGAGCTAGAACTGAGTTATAAAGATGAATAAGATAGTTCCCACCCTCAGGGAATTCTCTAGTAAGAAATAAACATGTCTACAAATAAGTGCAGTTAAAGGTAATGATCTACGTGTGTACAGAGTACAGTGCAGGCAGGGAGAAGGAAGAGGTCAGTTTTGCCTGAGGCGTTAGGAAAAACTTTGCAGAGAGTGAGTCTCAGCTGATGTTTATCATCTCAGAGTTGGAGACACATTCTAGATGGAAGAAGCAACTTGAGCAATAGCATGGCATGTTGGGGAATTCAAAGCATTTAGCATGACTTTTTAGATATTAAGGAAAACTTTGTTTCTTCTCTACTCACGACACTTCTAACACCAAAGTGTGGGTTTTCCCCACACCAACCAGTTCTCCAACTCTCCAGACACCAGTTGGTTGTCCTGCAATTCAGTTGTGACATTTAACTGGAGTTAGCACAGACCCCACAGGTAACCAGCTCACCTTCAAGACTGCCCCCAGGCTTCAGATACCAATCACGTGTCCAGGATCTGGACATCACCTATGTTTCTGACCAACTGGCTATAAATCAGATTCCCACTACCCCCTCCTCAGGCTTGATAATTTGCTAGAATGGCTCACAGAACTCAGCAAAACAGTTTACTTACTAGATTACAGGTTTATTATAAGAGGATACAACTCAGGAATAGCCAGAAAGAAGAGGTACATAGGACAAGACACATGGTAAGGGGTGTGGAGCTTCCATGCCCTCTCTGGGCACACCACCCTCCCAGCACTTCCATGTGTTCACCAGTGTGAAAGTTCTCAGAACCCCTTCGGTTCGGGGCTTTTTATGGAGGCTTCATATGTAGGCATGACTGATTAAATCACCGACCATTAGTGATTCTTTTTTTAAGTGAGCTAATTTATCTATTTATTTTTTCTCCCCAAAGCCCCAGTACATAGTTGTATATCCTAGTTGTAAGTCATTCTAATTCTTCTATATGGGACGCCACCACAGCATGGCTTGATGAGCGGTGCATAGGTCTGCACCCAGGATCCGAACCTCGGAACTCCAGGTCATGGAAGCCAAGCCTGCAAACTTAACCATTCAGCCCTGGGCCAGCCCCCATCAGTGATTAACGCAACCTCTAGTCTCTCTCCCCTTCCCAGAAGTCAGAGGGTGAAAGTTCCAACTGTTTTTTTTTTATTATTGTGGTCATAATAGTTTATAACATTGTGAAGTTTCAGTTGTACATTAATATTAGTTGTACATAATAAAGTGTGCCCCTTCATCCCTTGTGCCCACACTCTACCCCTCGTCCCCCCTGGTAACCACTAAATTGTTCTCTTTGTCCATAAGTTTGTTTATATTCCACATATGAGTGAAATCATACAGTGTTTGTCTTTCTCTGTCTGGCTTATTTCGCTTAACATAATGCCCTCAAGGTCCATCCATGTGGTTGCAAATGGGACAATTTTGTCTTTTTTTTTTATAGCTGAGTAGTATTCCATTGTATATATATATATATACCATATCTTCTTTATCCAGTCATCAGTCAATGGGCACTTGGGTTGCTTCCATGTCTTGGCTATTGTGAATAATGCTACAGTGAACATAGGGGTGCCTAAGTTTCTTTGTATTGTTGATTTCAAGTTCTTTGGATAAATACCCAGTAGTGGGATAGCTGGATCATATGGCATTTCTATTTTTAATTTTTTGAGAAATCACCATACTGTTTTCCACAGTAGCTGCACCAGTTTGCATTCCCACCAGCAGTGGATGAGGGTTGAAAGTTCCAACTCTTTAATCACATAGTTGGTTCCCCTGTCAACCAGCCAGTTATCCTTAGGGGCTTTCCAGAGTCACCTCATTAACATAAACTCAAGTGGCTGTGAGAGGCTTGTTATGAATAACAAAAGATATTCCTTTCACCTTTATCATCTAGAGCTGTTTCAGGAGCCAGGGACAAAACCAAAATATATATTTATTA